TATCAATTTATATGTAAACCAACTTGATCAATTTATATGTAAACCAACTTGACAATAAACTATTAAAAAAATTAAAAAAATAAAAAATAAAAAAACAGTTTAGGGATAAGTTTGATTAAAAATGTATGAGGCCTGTATACTGAACAGTATAAAGCATTGCTGAGAGAAATGAAAGAAGATATATATGAGAGAGAAATCAGATGCATAGATTATGAGACTTATTATTGTTAAGATGTTAGTTCTCACGAAATTGATCTATATATAGATTTTATGTAATTGTGGTGAAAACCCCCAGAGGTTTTTTTTGTAGAAAGGTGATTCAAAAATTTATATGGAAATACAAAGAATCTAAAATAACCAAACCAAAACAACTGAAAGAAAGGAGAATAAAATTGGTACTATCCTATTTCAAGGCATAAAGTTACAGTAATCAAGACAGTGTGGCATTGGTGTAAGGAGAGACATGTATAATTGAAACAGAATGGAGTCCAGAAATAAACTCACACATAAATATAACCAACTTTTGACAAAGATGCCGGGGAAATTCAATAGGGAAGAAAAGAATAATCTTTTCAATAAATAGTACTGGAACAATTGGAGAGCCATATACAAAAAAAATAAAAAGAAAAAGAAAAGGAAAGGAAAGAAAGAAAAAACAACCACTTCAACCTTTACCTTATACCATGTATAGAAATTAACCTGAAATTAATCGCAAGCTTAAATATATAATTTAAATATACAGAACTTATAGAAAACATAAAAGAATCACTTAGTGATCGAGTTGGACAAAATATAAATAGGAAAAAAATTATAAATTGGACTTCGTCAAAATATAAAATTTGCTCTTCAAAATATACTGTTACTAAAAGTGAAGAGGCAAACAACAGAATATTTGCAATACATTTAATAAAGGACTTATACATATAGGACGTATGAAGAACTGTTACCACTCAAAAAATGGGCAAAGTATTATAATAGACAATACATCAAGATAGATGGATATCAAATAAGCATTTGAAAATATTTCGTTGTTGTTAATCATTAGGAAAATGCAAACTAAAACCATGATGAGATAATACTATATACCCACAGAATGGCTGAAATTCTAAAGACTATCCCAGATGTGAGTATGGACATGGAGGAAATGGCACTTGCATAATTTACTGGTGGGACTATGAAATGGTACAAATACTTTGGAAAATAGTTTAGTAGTTTCTTAGAAATTAAACATAAACCATAAGACCCAGTCATTTCATTCCTAGGTATGTATTCAGAGAAGTAAAAGCCTATGTCCACACAAACGCTCACTTATGAATATCCATAGGAAACAATCAATGCCAGTTAGCAGGCAAATGGATAAACAGTCGTATGTCCAAACAATAGAATACCATTCAATAGTGGGAAGGAGAGAACTATTGATATGCGCAATAGCATGGATGAGCCTTAGAATTATGTTGAATGAAAGAAGGCAGACTAAAGTATATATTGTATGATTCCATTTACAATATAATTGTAGGAGTACCTGGGTGGCTCAGTTCATTAAGCATCTGACTCGATTTCAGCTGAGGTCATGATCTCACCATCATGGAATGGAGCCCCACATGGGACTCTGTGCTGGGCATAGAGCCTACTTGAGATTCTCTGTCTACCTCTCTGTCTCTCCCCAGCTCATGCTTTCTTTCAAAACAAAACAAAACAAAACAAAACAGAATATAATTGTATACTGTATAAATATATAGTATAAAATTCCAGAAAATGCAAACTAATCTATAAATTGGTGGTTGTTTGGGAAGGGGATATTATGAAATGGAGCATGTGGAAACTTGGGGGTGTGATGAATATATTAATTGTGGTGATGGTTTCACCACATCATGTCCAAAAACCTAATCTGTTATGTATATACTTCAAATATGTGTGTTTAATATATATGTTTTATTTCAATAAAGCTATATTTAAAAACAATGAGTAAACTGAAAATAGAAATATTTACCTAAATGGCAGCAGTTTTTTTCCTCTGTTTAATTCAAGTACATGAAAATATAATACATATTATTTGTTAAAAACATGTGTAACTATTTTAAAAAGATTATCTTTTGTTATTTTTTATCACACATCATTTTTTATGGAAGAATCATGTTTGAAAAGCCTGGCTCTGAAAGCGGGGAGTGAGAGGGAAGGAGAATCGCTAAGGGTACAGTTGGAGTGGAGGGAATATTTTCTTAAGATATGGGAGCAAGTTTGTTACTCTTCTCAGCTGAGGCACATGAGCCAGTAACAAGTGAGAAGCTGCCAGTGCAGAAGAGAAAAGGAGTGTAATAGGAGCAGAGTCCTTTAGGGTACAGGAGGAAATGGGATTGGGGAGGCTGATGAGGCTCCCTTTCTCTAAGACTAGAAGAAAGAAATGAGTTTAGTTTATATATGGATACATTTGTACACCCTGGGGCAGAAGGACAACAGTTTGTCCCCAAACCATGTTATTTTTAGTGAAAACAGGAAAGTTTCCTACTGAGAGGAGGAGGATAGAAATGAGAGGCTTACAATGAGGGATGAAAGTTTAGGCTGGCTGTATAGGGGAAGAGAGGAAATTGTTGACCGTAGATGTACAAAAGGATTATCACACAAAGCTTCTGTCACATACTTGGTGTAAGAAGACCTCAGTACCTTCTGTTTTCCTAGAAAATACCAAAAGAAGCATTCCAGTTGGAGTTACAGATCACCAGTTTCTGTTGCCTTTTCTAGATCTGCACTCTTTGTTATAAAGAGGAAATTTCAGAAAAACAGAACTGTAGTAAAACAAACATGGGATTGAGTATACTGTGTTCTCCTGTACCTTGCTGTTTTTCATTTTATAATATGTCTGGAAGATATTTCCATGTCAGTACATGTAGATACCTCTTTAAAAAAAAAAACCCTGTGTATTATTCTTATTATGGATATACCATAATTTATGTAGCATTTTAAGTTGTTTCTAACTTCTCACTATTAAATATTGCCATTGTGAACATCTTTGTATATATCTAAATATTGTAGTAGATGCTTTTGCACATGTAAGCTACAGTTGACCCTTGAGCAATGCGAGTTAGGGGTCCTTATACCGTGGAAAGTAAAAAATCTATAACTTCTGACTCCCCCAAAACTTAACTAATAGCCTACTGTTGACCAGAAGCCTTATCAGTAACATTGAATGTGTTGTTGATTAACATATATTTTGTATGTTATATATATTATGTACTATATTTTTGTAATAAAGTAAGCTAGAGGAGAAAAATATTAAAATCATAAGGAAGAGGAAAATACATAAACAGTAATACACTGTTTATCAAAAATCTGTGGATAAGTGGACCTGCACAGTTCAAACCCATGTTATTCGAAGCTCAATTATATATCTGAGGCTAAGTAACTTAGAGTTAGAATTATTTTATTAAAGATAATAAATATTTCACATTTTGTTGGATACTGTCAAATTGCTGTTCAAATGGTTCTATTAGTAGACTCCCACCAGTTGAGAGAATTCATTTGCCTCACCAACACATAATGTTATTTCCTTTCAATTTGTGAATCCTGTGGCCATAAGGTATCTCCTGTTTTAAATTCGCATTTCTTCATATTAGTGAAGCTAAGCATTTTTCATTTGCTTTTATAGGTCATTTCTATTTCTTACGTGAATGCCCATTTTTATTGCCTCTCTTACCAGTTTGCAGGATCTCTTTAAGTGTTAATGGATCTTTTGTCTTTTACATATGTGGCAGGTATTTTATTCCAGACTGTTAATTGTAGAACAAATTTTAATTTTGATACAGTCAAGTATTTTATTCTTTTCCTTGATGTTTGCTGGGTTTTGAATCTTGCTTTGGAATGTCTTCTCAATTCAAGATTATGTAGATTTCCACCAAAAAATTTGTATAGTTGCTTTTGTTTGTATATTTTCTGTATACCTCTTTAATCTATCTGGAATTAATACATGCAACTGATATGAGGTAGAGCACTATCATTTTAGATTCAGTAACAAAATTAAATATTTTAGTGCAGAATATGTTCAGGTAATTAATTCCAAAAGATAATAGAGATAACTTTTTTCAACATTAACGTCTTAGAAATAAACATTTTTGTCATTCCTTTTGTTTGTTCCAATTTGTGAAGGGACCACAAATTGTGAAGTTCATTATAGGGCAAAGCTGCTGCTTCTTAGCATTCTGTCTTTTAAAATAAGGCCATTACATTTTTCCATCTAATAAAGAAATTATTAGAAGCATAGATTTGTATTTCCCAATTTTTTCAGTGTGTGACAAACCAAGTAGATGCATGTCTGATAACGTCAGTCCATGTAGATATTCTTGTTCATAGTTAGATCTTTTAAAGAGTGTGTTGATAACTACAGTAATGAAAAGAGAGTGAAGAAAGACAGAAGAAAATAGCAAGAGGAGAGATAGGAAACAAAGACAAGAAAATCATAGAACAAAAACAGGGAAGAAGAAAAATAAGAGAAAAGTCAACCTTTTTCTTGTGACTGGAGAGTTGAATGTTGTCCAGACAATCTTTTAAAAATTATCACAGGCTCTATCACAGGCTCTATAAATAGTAGCAGTGATGTGGTTTTGTTGTTTTGTTTATTTGGTTATTGTCTTTTGTTCTGGGGATGAGATGGACTTCCGCTATCCTAGTGTGTACCGTTTTTCATGCTGTCTTTTTAATTTTTTATTGTTTTAATCTTTTTTTTCCATCATCAGTGTACTCATTAATCCCCATCTCCTCTTTCCCCCATCCCCCCACCTAGCTAAGTGAAATAAGTCAGTCAGAGAAAGACAAATACCATATGGAATTTAAGAAACAAACGAGCAAAGGGAGAAAAAGAGACAAATCAGAAAACAGACTCTCAATTATAGAGAATAAACTGATGGTTAGCAGAGGGGAGGTGTTATCCTTTTTAATAGGTTGTTAGATGTACACTGTTAAATGAGTTTGGGATTCATGGAATCATGTTTCTTTATTATTTTCTTTAGGCAACTGAGAATTTTGAACCGGCAACTTAGAGAACAAGAAAAAACTCAAAAGGCACCTGTTTCTCTGGAATGCAACCTTGAATGTAGGTAAAAGAACTTTAAGAACTGATGGTAAATTCTTTGTGTTTCTGGAAATACTGATAAAGAGTTGAGCTTTCTTAATTATTTTGTCATAAGAGGACTTTCTTTTAATTTACATTTGAAAAAATAGGAATAATACTTCTTATTAAAAATAAAATCGCACAGAAACAAAAATAAAAGATCTATGCTATTATGTCCCAATGATACGCTCCCATTTCTTTTTTTTTTTTTTTTTAACAGTTCATCTAGTCATATGTTTATTTCAGAGTTTTGCAAATTCACTACCAGTATGGAAGGCAGCATCTTCCAAAGCAAATATGTGCCCAGTGGAAACATCCATCCCTGTTTCGGCATATCTCTGTGTGCTGTTGAATCAATAACCTCTGAGGCTAAGAAAACAGGTTGTGATTTGAAGTTATAGTGTCTTGAAAAGAAAAACACTTTTTTTTTTTTTTTTTTACTACTTTTCTGTTTCTATGAATTTGGCTTTTTTAAAGATTCACATATAAAGTGATACCATGCAATATTTTTCTTCCTCTGGCTTATCTCACTTAGTATAATTCCCTCAAGGTCCATCCATGTTGTCACAAATGGCAACATTTCTTTTTTTCTCATGGCTGAATATTCCATTATGTACTATACCACATCTTCTTTATCCATCGATCCATTGATAGGCACTTAGGTTGTTTACGTATCTTGGCTATTGTAAGTATTGCTGCAATGAACATAGGAATACAGATATCTCTCCAAGATCTTATTTTCATTTCCTATAATATTTATGTTTATATTTATATTTATTTAATTAAAAGTGGGATTCCTGGATCATATGGGAGTTTTATTTTTATTTTTTTATTTTTTATTTTTTTTGGGGGGAGTTTTATTTTTAATATTTTGAGGAACCTCCATATTGTTTTCCATAATGGCTTACCGACTTATATTCCCATCAGCAATGCTTTGAGTATAGGCATTCTAACAGGTGTGAAGTGATACCTCATTGTGGCTTTGATTTGGATTACCCTGATGATTAATGATAGTAAGTTACCTTTTCACATATCTGTTGATTTGTATATCTTCTTTGAAAAAAAAAATCTCTTCAGTTTCTCTGCCCATTTTTTAAATCAGATTGCTTTTTGTTTGTTTGTTTGCTATTGAATTCTATGAGTTCTTTATATACTTTGGATATTAACCCCTCACCAGATATATGTTTTGTAAATATTTTCTCCCATTCTGTAGGTTGCCTATTTGTTTTGTTGGTTTTCCTTGACATGCAGAAGCTTTTTAGTTTGATGTAGTCCATTCCATTTGTTCATTTTTGCTTTGGTTGCCTTTGCTTTTGGTGTCAAATACTAAAAATTATTGACAAGACCAATTTCAAAAGTTTACCCCCTATGTTTTCTTCTAGGAGTTTTATAGTTTCAGGACCTACATTTAAGTCTATAATCTATTCTGAGTTAATTTTTACATATAGTGTAAGATAAGGGTTCAGTTTCATTCTTTTCATGTGAATATCCAGTTTTTCCAACACATCTAGTTTCTTCGAAACTATCCTTTTTCCATTATATATTTTGGCCCCTAGGTTGAAAATTGACCACATATACATGGGTTTATTTCTGGGTTCTGTTCCATATATCAATATGTTCCATTGATAAATGTGTCTATTCTTATGCCAATACCTTAAATTTTGATTACTATAGCTTTAAAATATTATATGAAACCAGGAGATGTCATGCCTTCCATTTTGTTCTTCTTTCTCAAGATTGCTTTGCCTATTTGGGGTTTTTCATGTTCCATACATGTTTTAGGATTGCTTTTTCTGTTTCTGTGAAAATACCATTGAACTTTGATAGAGATTGTGTTGAATCTCGATCCCATTTCTTTTTAAAAAGGCTGTATTTCCTTTCACATGCCTTCTGTTCATATAGAGTTGATGTGTTTCACAAATACTGAGTTCCTATTGTATGCCAGGCACTAATAGAACTATATATATGTTTTATTTTTTCTTTTTTAAAAATTAATTTTATTTAATTATTTTATGTTTTATTTATTTCTGAGAGAGAGAGAGAGAGAGCAGGGAAGGGTCAGAGAGAGAGGGAGACACAGAACCGTAAACAGGCTCCAGGCTCTGAGCTAGCTGTCAGCACAGAGCCTGATGCGGGGCTTGAACCTGCGAACCGTGAGATTATGACCTGAGCCAAAGTCGGATGCTTAACCGACTGAGCCATCCAGGTGCCCCTATTTTTTCTTTTTTAAAAATGAGATTATACTCAATGTGTTCTTCTGTAGCTTGCATTTATTCACTTAACATGTAGGGGGCATTTTTATTTTTTATCCTTTTTCAAGTTTTTATTTAAATTCCAGTTTGTTAATGTACAGTGTAATATTAGTTTCAGGTATAGAATTTAGTGATTCATCACTTACACACAGTACCCAATGCTCATCACAACAAGTGCCCTCCTGAATACTCATCACCAATTTAACCTATTCTCCCACCTACCTCTCCTCCAGTAACCCTTAGTTTGTTCTCTGTTGTTTCCTTGTTTGCCCCTCTTTTTTTCCCTATGTTCATCTGTTTTGTTTATTAAATTCCACATGTAAGTGAAATCATATGGTATTTTCTTTCTCTGACCAATTTACTTTGTTTATCATTTATACTTTCTGACTTCATCCATGTCATTGCAAATGGCAAGATTTTATTGTTTTTTTATGGCTGAGTAGTATTCCATTATATATATATACCACATCTTCTTTATCCATTCATCAGTAGATGGCCATTTGGGCTTTTCCCATAATTTGGCTATTACTGATAATGCTGCTATAAACAACAGACTATATGTATTTTTTTGAATCGATATTTTTGTATCCTTTGGGTAAATACATAGTAATGTAATTGCTGGATTATAGAGTAGTTGTATTTTTAACGTGTTGAAGAATCTTCATACTGTTTTCCAGATAGGCTGCACCTGTTTACATTCCCACCACCAGTGTAAGAGTGTTCCCCTTTCACTGCAACGTTGCCAACAACTGTTATTTCCTGTGTGGTTCATTTTAGCCATTCTGAAAGGTGTGAGGTGATAGCTCATTGGGTTTTATCTATATGTTTGTTTTGAGAGAGAGAGCGAGAGAGCATGTGCATCTATGAGCAAGGGAGGGGCAGAGAAAGAGGGAGAGAGAGAGAGAGAGAGAGAGAGAATCCCAAGCAGACTCTGCACGCTCAGCATGGGGCCATATGTGGGGCTTGAACTCATGAACAATGAGAGAACGACCTGAGCTGAAATCAAGAGTGAGACACTTAACTGACTGAGCCACCCAGGCACCCCTCTCATTAGTTTTGATTTGAATTTCACTGATGATGAGTGATGTTGAGCATCTCTTCTGTTAGCCATCTGTATGTCATCTTTGTCTACTCATTTCTTCTGTTCAGTTTTTAACTGGATTATTTGTTTTTTGAGTGTTGAGTTTTATGAGTGCTTTATGTATTTTGGATACTCACCCTTTAACCAGTATGTCATTTGCAAATATCTTTTCCCACTCTGTAGGCTGCTTTTTAGTTTTGTTGATTGTTTTCTTCACTGTGCAGAAGCTTTTTATTTTGAAGTAGTCCCTTTGAAGTTGCCTTTGTTTCTCTTGCTTCAGGAGACATATCTGGTAAGAAGTTGCTATGACTGATGTTAAAGAGGTTACTGCCTATGTTCTTCTCTAGGATTTTGAATATTTCCTGTCTCACATTTAGGTCTTTCATCAGTTTTGAATTTATTTTTGTGTAGGGTGTAAGAAAGCAGTCCAGTTTCATTCTTTTGCACACTGCTGTCCAGTTTTCCCAATACCATTTGTTGAAGAGATTGTCTTTTTTTATTGGATATTCTTTCCTGCTTTGTTGAAGATTAGTTGACCATATAGTTGTGGGTTCATTTCTGGGTTATCTATCTGTTCCATTGATCTATGTGTTTGTTTTTGTGCCAATATCACACTGCTTTGATCACTACAGCTTTGTAATATAACTTGACGTCTGAAATTGGGATGCCTCCTCTTTGCTTTGCTTTGCTTTGGCTATTTGGGCTCTTTTGTGGTTCCATACAAACTTTAGGATTGTTTGTTCTAGCTTTATGAAAAATGCTGGTGGTTTATTGATAGGCATTGTATTAAATGCGTAGATTGCTTTGGGTAGTATACACATTTAAACAATATTTATTCTTCCAATCCACGAACGTGGAATGTTTTTCCATTGCTTTTTGTTTTGAGTTTCCTTCATTAGTGTTTTATAGTTTTCAGAATACAAATCTTTAACCTCCTTGGCTAGGTTTATCCCTAGGTATCTTACGGTTTTTGGTTTAATTGTAAATGGGATCAATTTCTTGATTTCTCTTCTGGCTGCTTCATTATTGGTGTATAGAAGTACAACAGATTTCTGTATATTGATTTTGTATCCTGAGACTTTACTGAATCCATGTATCAGTTCTAGCAATTTTTTGGTGGTCTTTTGGGTTTTCTACAAAGTATCATGTCATCTACAAATAGTGAGAGTTGGACTTTTTCCTTGCTGATTTGGACGCCTTTATTTTTTTGTGTTGTCTGATTGCTGAGGCTAGGATTTCTAGTATTATGTTAAATAATATGGTAAGAGTGGACACGCTTGTCTTGTTCCTGACTATAAAGGAAAAGCTCTCAATTTTTCCCCATTGAGGATGATATTAGCTGTGGGTTTTTTGTATATGGCCTTTATTATGTTGAGATATGTTCCCTTCATCTATACTTTGTTGAGGGTTTTTATTATGAATGGATATTGTACTTTGTCTAATGCTTTTTCTGGATCTGTTGAGAAGATCATATGGTTCTTATCCTTCCTCTTATTAGTGTGATGTATCATGTTGGTTGATTTGCAAATATTGAACCATCTTTGCATACCGGGAATAAATCCCACTTGATCATGGTGAATGATTCTTTTAATGTACTGTTGGATTTGATTTGCTAGTAATGTGTTGAGAAATTTTGCTTCCATGTTCAT